AGTAGGTTGCTGAGGTTTGAAAACCGTCGCACCAATATACTGTCCATTTTCGACCACCGCTTTAGAACACCTTGAAATTATGACGCACCTACATTATATGTCATGTATCAGTATGTTTTGAAATGCGAGGGTTCATCCGAGCCACGGTATGGCATGGTGCTCATATCACCTAAAGCTGGCACCCTGACATGATGGTCAGGCTTGGTTGTTGCGATGATCCCTCGTGCCACACTGGCTAAAACTTCGTTCTCCAAGGTGAAGCCATGCCAGGAAGACCGAAGGGAGCATTTAGAACAAGAACAAGGCCCCATGCTACAAGTAATCGTATGTGTACGCTACGTTCTCCCGAGAAAAGACGGGTTAGACCGTGACAGCGGGCGCATAATAAAATACGGTTGAAACACTTGCAATGGAAGTTTGGCGCTGCTCTTAAGGCACCTGATGTACGCGGCCGCATCAGGAGTGCCACAGTAATATCTCACTCCCTTCGCTCCCGTGTTAGGCCAGCCTCTTGCAGCCGAGCACGTCAGACTATTTAGTCATGGACTCTTGGCAGGCTCCCCAAAGAAAACCCTACCTTCCGCTGTCTCGTGAGTCACACTTTTCATTCAGAGGCTAGGAACAAGCCTTCTCAACAAAACACTCCATCCTCCCACTAAGTTGAGCCTTTCGGTTAGGCCTAAGGTGGAGCACCTCAACTAAACCCCTTTCCTCAGCCTGGGCAACAGGGAAGTATCATTTACCCGCACAGTTCTTCGCCCATCGATGTCTCTCCTCAACCTCTTCCCACCGCACAAACGTCTCTGGGTCATTCGTTTGTCATTTATCTGAACGTCTGAGAGCATTCTAGCCAGGCACTGGAAAAGTGCTACAGCTGGACAAGCATTTTTTATCCGACCGATGTGCTTTATACACCCCACTGCCCACTAGCAATGCCACTCGAAGGAAGCACGAGGGCTGGGATACTGCCAAGTTGCCCAAGGCTAGACAGGAGAAGTCGAGAGACAGAAATCGAGTTCGAACTACGGGCCTTCCGGTCAGTAAATTCGCGTTCTAACCACTTGAACCATCTTTCCCCAATAATTAAAACAGCACCCTGCTAACTCCACATAAGTGCGTTCAGCGACTGTATCCGTGTTAAACTGGCAAACAGGCGATGCCCGCTGGAACCTCATATTCCTTTAAAATCGATGGTGTATGTTGTGTATCTGAAATACGCATACATATGCATTTCAAAACGACAAGGACAAACTCAGCTCTCTCACAGTTCTCCCTCCTTGTGTCAGGTATCCAAAAGCGATGTATGGGCATGTTTTGCTGATTTGGATTCCGGTGAAGTCTTCTTTGCGTCGTCCGGTTATTCAGCTCAGTCAGGCTCAATGCCCCGACATCAAAAGGTAACTTTGTAGTGTCGGCGCATTCAGCAACGGATGGTAGTGAAGAATTAGTGTCAACCCTGATGTGATGTTTTTCCTCAGACTACTCGGGAGGGGGGGGGCGAGATGGCTCGGTTGTTAGAGCGCGGATTTACTGACCGGAAGGTCCGTGGTTCGAACCTGATCTCTGCCTTCCAACTTCCCCTGTCTAGCACTGGGCAACTTGGCAGTGTCCCAGCCCTCGTACTTCCTTTTGGTGGCATGGCAGTTAGGCACCAAAAGGGTGCTGAACGATTTCTTTCAACACTGATGTTGCTGTTCTTGATGATGATGATCATGATCATGATCATGATTATGTAGTTCTGGCACTGACAAGGATACTTTCTATTGAGATTTGTTCGGGCTCGTTTGTCGAGCAAAAAGCACCAACACTGTAATTCTTGCGGGCGCTATGAATGCCCAAGTTGGTTGCTTGAGCTTGAAACCACATCTGGTTGGTCTATTCGGAATCGATGCTCGTTGCACCGACAACGGAGAGCGACTCATCCAGTTGTGTACTGATCAACGTTCTTCACCAGTACGAGCGTTCGCTTCGCGTAACCTGGCGACTAATAAGTGCAAACCAACAGCGGACCCATCCGAATCACGTGGCCATCAGCTAACGATGAAGAGCCATAATTAAAAACTGCCCTTCTTTCTGGGCACAGGACTTGATTCCAATTTCGTCATATTGTGAGTGCGCCTGACAGTTTGCTTTCCTTCAGATCCTCGCAAGTCAGCAAGAAGTATGCTGATTCACCATCTTTGAAGAACTGTCATAGTTCAATAGCATCGATCTTAGCTCGACTACTCTCTACAGTAAACCAACGCTGTGTTGGTACCGGGCGCGTGGATGAAACCTGGTGAAATGTGAAAGGAGATATGTCAGCGGTATTCAGTGCTGTGTTTTTCACTTCTCCAATGCGACCAAATAACCACTGGATATCGTCGAGATCGCTAGTCTTGATTGGTGCCAAGAAATCTATACCACCAGCAATGAGTCCAGCACCCTTCCGGTGCCTAACCGCTATGCTATCAGAAGGAAGCTCAAGGGCTGGGATACTATCAGGTTACCCAAGCCTAGGTATGTGAATTGGAGAGGCAGTGTCGGGTTCGAACCACGCACCCTCCAGTGAGTAAGTTCGCGTTCTAACCACTGATCCATCTCGCCTGAGCAACGAGTACGACGGCACACGCAGATCCCTTAAACACCACGTAGTGAAGAGCTTAAGGACAGACTAATTGTTTTGGTGGATGTTGAAAGTTCAAATGGAGAAGAAACAGCCGTACTATGGTCAGTGAAACGTGAGCGAAGAAACCCATCATAACCAGCTCCTCTAAAGCTCGCCTGCTTATCCATTGTCGTATATTAATGGTCACTGTAAGCAGATATCCAAAGTGCAACATATTGCGAAACATCCAACCCTCGGTACAACCCCGCCGACTTCTTCTGAGCGCTGGTTGAAAACTCATCATCCGAGGCCGGGCGAAACGATTTTCCGTGCAGGGCGGGAAGCACAGGGTATTCGAAAGGCCGAGGAAATGGAAGATGCGAAAAATGATGGAAATGTCTGCAGGTATTTTTTGTGATTCCGTCGGCTGTTTCTCGGGAGCCTCTTGTCAGCGAAACCATTAGGGATAAGAATGGCTCTCTTGTATCCAGCAAAGGAGGGCATTTTGAGCGTTAAGCACAATACGTCGAAAAACAATTCAGTGTGCTACCTCCAATCCCGACTGCCGGCCTTAGTCAGAAAGGTGGACTGTGAACATGGAACGCCCTTCAGCCTCAAAAGTGTCCGAGTGTATATCCCTACTCAAGTGTCATGCTTCTGGTCCCGACAACCTTCCACCCGCTCTGTTCAAGGACAGTGGTTAATTCCTCGGACAGTGCCTATTTAGCCTGTTTGTGTCTATCTGGGAGCAACAAACTGTCACAAATAGTTGGAGTGAGTCGGTAATAAACCATCTTCAAAAGGGTCTTCGCAGTGAATGTATTATATTAACCAATGAGTTATCATTCTGATCCGCGTTGTAGCAAAGCTCGATTACTTGGTTCTTTTACACGGCAAACGGTATCAGCGTATGCCCTGAAATGTTTCAGTTCTACAGCTGGGACAACTAGCCAGAGACTAAAGTGGCGCTTGTGTCACCCTCAAACGCCGGATATTCAAGAGCTTAAAGTGAGCGCTAGTTGACTTAGAAGGATAAAGTGATGAAGAAGGTTTTGAATGCAGGAAGTAGCCGCACCCTGTTTAAGCTTAGTAGATAAACTGACCAGAAGAGGACGGTTGTCACTCTTCAAGAACGCCTCTGGAACATAATGCGAAAGTCATCGTAGCCTTAGCGTCCATTATGCTTGCTAGCATACCTTGTGCTGGTTGACAAATAACTTGGGCCGAGAGTACACTGACAATATTTTCGCTTTGAAGCAGGTGCCTGGACGGTGTCACCCTTTCAAACTACAATGCCGATCTTTTTTATCTGAAAGTTTCTGTCGGCCGTCAGCAACTGGGACAGGGACTGGCGACTAGAAGAATTTCAATTTTCACATTTTGGTGTGCACATGTAGACGGAAATTTTTAGCCTGATCTTACCAAGTCCACCAGTGCGAGACGAGACTACCCTCTCTAACCATTCGTGCTCAACCTTGCTGTGATACGCTGCTTGAAACCTAAGTGGCTTCCTGGGGGTGAAAATGTTGATGGATCGTTTGTTATCTAGAATTGAATGCGCAGATGATGAGTCCTCCTCGGAGATGTGTAATCAGCCTCGCGGTTTGACATACACTTCACGTTTGCAATGTGTAAAGTGTTGCTTGAGGCTGATTGGAGTCAGTACCAAACCACATGATTTCATACCAACCAATCGACGTGGTGGATAAGTTTATGTAACTTGGCTTGAACAGGTCCATGTGAACTGGTGGTGGACGAGTCTGGAGCCGAGTTTTTACTCTTTTTCTACCAGTCCCGTGTTGAGTAGAAACTATGGAATGGCGGATCATGTGAAGTATTAAATCATAATCAGTAAGCTAAGGCCTACACCTGCTACCCCCATGGATGGAAATCCTGGGACTCGACTCATTAATGGTAAATGACACTGGCAAGGATGGCTCGATCACGCAGTCAGTGGCACGGAGATCATCTCCTTCAGTCCATGACCGTCCTATTTTCCGCCAAATAGCTGGAAGGACTCAAAGTGAATAACCGATTAGTACATCGCCCCCCTTAGCTATTCTTTCGCTGATTTTGCAGTCGGACGAGCAAAATTACTGCGCCTACCAATGATACATGTTCTACGACCGATCAACTGAACGGAACTGCAGAGTGGATTATTGTCGCCAATCTGGACCGGGGTAGCCCAGTAGTCAACACCGTAGACTTTGGTTTCGATGGCGCGGTTTTGAGCCGTGGTGTGGACGTCTTTGAATTGGCCTCTGGTTCCCATCTTGAAATGTTTATTTGGATGTCATTTCATTATGTAAGATGCCTATTGCGCCTTTTCTTGCCTCACTGTCCTCGTATTTGCGTCTCCGACTCACGTTATTCTTCCTTTTAGTTGGCCCGATTGGAGGTCGGTACCTTGTAGGGTATCCGTACTTGCTTTTATCGCACCGTATCAATATGTACGGCTGTACACTTTTTATGTGCAGCAGACAATCCACCTTCTCCCATCCACACATTCGTGCTTTATGTTCAAACATGGCAAATAAGACCCTTCTGGCGAAACTGCGGCGACAAACTGGTTACACGTTTGCAGCGTGCAAGGAGGCACTGTTAAAGCACGATAATGATTTGAACAAGGCATCAGCTTGGCTCACCGAGGAAGCAGTACGAAGAGGGTGGGACAAAGCTGGAAAGCTATCTGGACGTACATTGTCTCAAGGACTTCTTGGGCTCCAGTTTTCACGAACTCATGCAGTTGTGGTGGAAGTTAACTGTGAGACTGATTTCGTTGCTCGAAACGAGCAGTTCCAGAATTTTGTAGCCGTGGCCACAGAGATGGTAATGAGAGAATTTGTTGTAAGTCTACTCCTTAAGTTTTTTTACTCGTTATAGAGTCGTTTTATCTCGCCTGATATTGTGTCGGGTGGCATGGCAGCTTGGCACCGAAAGGGTGTTATGGCTGAACAGTAAGTAATTAATATTGTCATAGCTTTGGGTTTGGTAACTTGCGCTGACAAAATTGCGTGTAAGCAGGTATTGGCGTGCAACTGAGTAGGCTAATCCAAAGAACATGAATAGGCCAGCTACGGCCTGCTGCTGCAATCAATATTCTAATCTTTGTGCCCAAAACCCTGAGTGGGCGATCTGTTTTGAAGCTCCAGATGACAACTCTGATGCATTCTTAAATTACTGTATCACAACGAAACACCGGTACCCTAAACTTCGCCAGGTACGTCACTGACAAAGGTTGATCAGCTTGAGTCCGAAAACTTCACCTGTTTTACGTTCCTCAAAACTGCCTGCTTCTATTAACGAGTATACACCCATTTGCAAACTAATTTGGTTTTTCGAGAGACTCACCTGGAGCCCAGCTGAGTCCCTCGTTTGTGATGTTATCAGGCAACTGAATGTGCTGCACCAGGCCGTCTCATGTTTCAGTCGCTACGATATTCGAGGTATCGCCTGAGAACATCACAAACGAGAGACTCAGCTGGGTTCCAGGTAACTCTCTCGAAAAAAACAAGTTAGTTTGCAAATGAGTGTATATTCGCTAATTTCGTGCAATTTGGTTTCAAGTAGAACGTAAGGTTGACGGAAACCCGCGGACCGCGCCTACCTGATGAGCCCCAAAAAGGGCGAAACCGGTCGTGGGCTGTCAACGGATTTTCAGCAACCTTATGAGTAGTACATTACAAAGCTGCCTGCTTCTATGTTGGCTGACTGGTTAAGCAGCATCGTGTCTGGATATTCCGGTTTCACCATCTAACCTTTTGTAGTGACAAATAGAACTGCAAGTTGACCGTAAATTTTCAAATACACAACATTCTCCAGGAGGTACGTTAGAAGCACTTAAATCAGTGTATCACACTCGTCATTATTTACCCAAAGTAATAACGCTTCCTCTACTAGTTTCTCTTGGAGAGTAGCCCGTTCGACGCATGTCACCTTTCGCCAGTTTTAATGGTTAAAACATGGGAAATCCGTAATGAGGCAGTTGGAGAGCGCGTTTTCAGCTGTGTAACGGGTACTTCCATTGAAGAATGTGTCAAGCACCAAAATCTGCGTTGGTTGAGACATGTGTTGCGTATGCCGAACCATCGTTTGCCGAAGAGAGTGCCGTTTTCCATGCCCAATTCAGAGTGGCGTAAATAGAGAGGTGGCCAACCCTTGACTTGGCAGAGTATGAAGGAGATCACAAAACTGTTGAGTGCTGTCGGTGCTACTCGCCTTCCGGAATGGGGACCACGTGATCCTCACTGTGCTTGGTTGGAGACATTACAAGATATGGCTGCCAACCGATGTCAGTGGCGTTCTTGTTGTCAGTTTCTATCCAGATTATCTGAGTGAATGTCTGGATGTCTAGGCACCTCGGAATGACTGTGGTAGGCTAGCACTAAGTCCCTTCCCTGTCCACCTTTACTCTTTTCTCTACAATAGGGCTTTCAAATAAATCATGATTGTACGGCAGTGAAACATCGGCGTTGAACACTGATGTCATGCTGTCGATGATGATGATGATCTTAAATCTCACTGCAGTCATCGACCATACCAATACGATGTACTCTCCTCGAGTGTCATCCAAGTAGCGAGGTTCTTGCCAAAACAAATCCATCGACAAGGATTTATCAACATAACTTCCCACTCTACTGAACAAAGTGGAAAAGCCAAACCTACCTCGTCAGAATAGCTGAATGTCTTCAAGTTTGGTATCGTCAGATGTGAAGTTTTTTCCCGAAATTAAGTTGGCTTTGTCGACACGGAGCGTAACATTAACGATACACATAAACATAGCCAAAACATTAGTATGCAAATGAAGACGAGTTTTACTGTAGTACAGAAATCCTGACTGATGTTTCTTCACTTTTATCCTATACTGAATTTTGTATCATGACAGACAATATGTACTTCAAAAGTACCATCTTGGTGATGCAACGAATCAAACCGTCATATGCTCTAATTGATCGTTTTAATTTAGACCTCTATGCAACTTCTCTTCTAATTGGTAATGTGGTGAACTATTGGTAGCTCGGGTGAGTTTATTGGTTGTTGATCAGGTGGCTGTTGATCTGTTCGCCGAGCTAGGCAATATGCTTGCAAACGTTTCGTCACCATACGAGGAGACATCATCAGTGCGCAGTTTGGTGCGCACGTACGAATAGAGAGATCTGGTGGGATCTAGAATATGGCCTTGATACCAGAACGGATCCCATCATGGTTTGCCACGAACACCCAGGAATGCAAGCTTAGGATGTCTATAAACGGAAAGAAGAACATGTAGTGGGAAAATGGATGAGTTCATTCACTCAAAGTCATAAATAACAAAAGCAGCAGACCTTTCCCCCATTCACAAGAGGCGGGTGTACTCCCAAGTTGACCTAAATTGGCTGGAAACGACAAAAAAGTTAACCAGGTCCGAACATCGTCCACTGGTTTGTCATGATAGTGGAACTAGACAACTCTATGGGAAGATACACAATAATCCGGGTGGAACGATCCTTTGAAGCATATGTTGAGCTTGTGATATGTACCAGGGATGTGGCTAAAATCCTCACACGAACTGCCACTTACGTGCTAGTAGTTGATACCCTATATCCACTCCTCCGTACCTTAGAAGATTAGTCAACTTCACTTCCACGCCCGGTGGTTCAGACGGATACACACCGTGTATCTGTTCCTAAAACATTGAATTAGAAGAGTGCGGTCCCAACGAGAACGTGCACAGTAACCCATGTTGGCTCGATCGGCTGAAGATTATAACGCACCCACGTAAGTCCGCTCCGCGGACACAGTTTAAATGTACAATCGTATGATTGACTGCGTACCTCCACTGGAGGGCTCAGATAGGGTTCGTAGCGAGATATCCGCTGAACTACATGTGCAGAGGTGTAATTCATTTTCACATGGTTGCCAGGGGTTCAGCAGCCTATGTGAACGTTTT